AATAAGCAGATGTAGGAATAGCTTGTTTGAATAATTTTAAAGGTTCTGGGTATCAGGCCTATCTCTAGGTTTCTGGTTCCTGTCCTTGCACTGATTACAACAAGTGGATAGTGACCCAGAGAGTCAGGTCTCTGAGAGCCTGCTGAAGGAGGAGGTTGAGGGTCATGGACTCTGGATTGATTGGTTTGCATATAAATGGTGTGGGAATGGTAAGTTGCTTCAGTCGTGTCCATCTGTGCAACCCTATGGACTTTGGCTCGCCAGGCTCCTCTGTCCATGGGATTCTCCAGGCAAGAATACTGGAGTACATTGCTATGCCCACCTCCAGGGGATCTTCTGGACCCAGGGATGGAACCTGAGTCTCATGTCTCCTGCATTGGCAGCCAGGTTCTTCACCTGGGAAGTCAATATAAACGGTGTAGTTGTAGGCAAGTCCCTTATCATGCATAAGAATAGATTAGCCCTGGGAGGGGCAGTCCCTTCAGGTGCAGCAAGTTCCTAGATATCAAAACATTAAAATACAGAAAATAAAAATATACGTCTAATACATGCTTTATCTGGGATTTGTTTTATTTCTACATTTGCCCACCCCAGGTTAAACTTTGATTACTTCACACCTTGCCTATTTCCATAGCATTGTAACTAATGGTCTTCTTTCTTCTAATGTGGGCCATATATAGCTAAATTTTTCTGAAACATAGTTTTGAGCAGCTTACTCTTCTCTCTCAAAGGCACTTTCTTGCCTGCTTAGTAAATTTCAAAGACTTAGCCTGGCCATTTTATTTTTTCAAAGCTTAACTTATTTTCCTTCATGCATCTAACCAAATCATTTAAGAGTCCCTGTATATACCACCTGCTTTTCTACTTTTATTGTTCACAATGAGCTTTGCTCAGGGTGTATTTCCTGTCCTGCTCCAGTACTCTCGTCCCTCCTCACCTGCAGCTGCATCAGACACAAACACATGTACATACACACTACATACACTTCTTTTGAATTTGACCTACATTCATGCCTAACTCAAATGCCACCTTCATGATTTCTCTGCTTACTCTTCTCACCCAAGGTAATCTTTACCGCAACTTTCGTTATATCTTATGTGTAAGTCTTTTGAGGCAAATACAATTTTGTACTTGCATTGTAATCATATATATGTTTTTTCTCTTATTAAGACTGTCAACTCCTTAGGGCCCATATCTGATTCATATTGTATCCCTGCCAGCATGTAGCCTTATGCACAGTAATTTTATAAATAACAGTTAAATGAAAGAAATTGATTTGGTTTAGATTGAAATTCCTACCTTCATCTCATTAAAATAAAAAGAGAATAATAAAGACACTTTTTCTTAAGCCACTCCTTTCCTCCTGCGGTTATTTCATCGTGAGATTCATGTATGTGTTGCATGCTTTAATGTCATTAGTCTCTTTTTTCATAGAAGTGATCATCAGATGTTCATTATATAGATACCAATTATATAGAATGCATATTTTCCAGTTATTGCCCTAGGTACTGAAGAAATAGGTGTGAACATAATAGATTAGGCCTCTGCTTCAGAAACTCATGAACCTACAGCTACATACCTCTTGTATCATGACTGTTTTTCAGGCAAAACTTTCAAAATGAGTATCTCTTGAATGTCTTCCTATTCATTGCCCACTAATTTACCTCTATTAAAAGTATCTGTTTTTGAACACAGCTAGGCTAGATATGTACCATAAATTTCTAACATAATTGACTACAAGTACTCATTTCAATTTTTTAAATTTACTGGTATTTTCTGTGTCAAATTTACCACTGTATCAGGCAGAATACTAAGAGTTGGAGCTTTCATGGTAGACATAATAAACATGGCTCCTTCCCATAAAAGTTACAGTCTGAAAATTTGGGAGAGTTTACTGAGGATTCTCATTAGATCACAGTAACTACCTAATTGGTAAATGCAACATCATTGCTAATTTGTTTCTATTTGGTCCCTGTAGGGAATAAAAGAGGAAGGGCTGGTTTATGAGTAAATATAATATGATTTCATTATGTATTTACCTAGCTTGAGATGTCTAGAAGACATTTAGCTGGAGCTATCCAGTTAGGCTGGTAAGCATTTGAATATGAAGATTGAGAGAATGTTTTGGATTGGATATAATGATTTGGGAATTGATTCAGCAATTTTTTAAATTATACAGCTACTGTGTATTGGGTACTATTGTAGGCACTAGGGATACAGCAGCAACAAAAGAGCACAAAGTCCCTAAACTTGTGGAGCTTAGATTCTCAGGGTTGGGGGGTCAGGTGGGGAACATCTAATTCATAAGTTAATTAAGTAAAAATATGTTAGTAAGAAGTACTAAGGAGAAAAATTAAGGAAGGGGATATGAAGTATTTGAGGGGTATTTGACATTTTAGATAGGGGAGCTGGAGAAGTCCACATTAAGAATGTGGCTTTAAGACCTGGAGACAGAAAGGATGCTAAACATGTACACGTGTGAGAAGAACATTTCGGGCAGAGGAAATAGCAACTGCAAAGGCCTGGCACGTGTGAAAAATACCAAGGAGGACAATGTGACTGAAGCAGAGTAAACAAGGGAGAAAGTATTGATCATGAAATCAGAGCTCAATCTAGATGCATGTAGGACTTGTTAGGCTGTAGTAAGATTTTAGGTTTTTGCGCGGAATGAGATGGGAAACAGAGCAGTGATATGATCTGACTTGTGTTTTTAAGGATCACTCTGGTTACCGTGTGAAGAACAGACTTCAGGGAATTGAGATTAAGTGAGAAGATCAATTAGAAGGCCTCTGCAGTAACCCAAGAGAGGGTAGTGTCTGGATCACGATAGTGGCAACAAAGAGGGATGACAAGCGATTAGATTCGGGATGTATTTTGAAGTTTCTTTCACCTGAACAACTGGAAGAAAAACATTACCTTTGACAGAAAAAGGGAAAGACTGCAAGAGAATTAGGTTCACTAGACACGGAATAATCCAGTAGAGAGAAGCTTATGATGCATGAGAGAATGACTGGAGCAATATCCATAAATAGGCGAAAAGGAATGGAATCTGGAACACATGTAGAGGAATTGACCTAATCAAGAATCATGGATAACTCAGAGTAACAGGAGAAACAGGGAATATAGACACAGAGAGAGAGGCAAGTGCACAGATGTAACAGTGGGAGTATTTGAAAGTTAACCTGATTGCTTCAGCTTTCTCATCTAGTTAGCTGAAGGTAACATAGGAGAGGAAGAAGTGTGAAATAATGACTTTAGAAGGGGTAGTAAAAAATTAACCAAGGTAATGCAGTGTGATTGCTGTCACATTAAGGACCCACTTTAACAATCTATAATTTAAAATGAGACCTGGCATCATGGTTAGATGTTTTTTCTCTAGCTTCACTTATCCACACGGGCTGAGTTAAATGCAATGTGTTAATATTTCAGGAACAGTAAGGACAACAGATCAGGATATCATTGGCATTAAAAAAATGGTTTATCACTTATAGATACAAAGAGGAGAGAACCACATGGAAAAGCACTGGGATTTGCCACTGGCAGAGGAATTGATGTGCGACTGAGCAAGCACATCAGTTAAGGGCTTCCCAGGTGGCGCTAGTAGTGAGAACCTGTCTGCCAATGCAGGAGACCTAGGAGATGCGGGTTTAATCCCTGGGTCAGGAAGATCCCCTGGAGGAGGAAATGGCAACCCATTCCAGTATTCTTGCCTGGAAAAATCCCACGGACAGAGGAGCCTGACAGGCTACAGTTCATGGGGATACAAAAGAGTCAAACAAGACTTAGCAACTAAACAACAGTGCCCACAATATACTAGGTACTGTCTTATGTACTAGTGATATAGCAATCAACAAGACAAAGTTCTTGCCCTAAAGATGCTTATGTTCTAGTAGAGGAATATACAACAACATACAAAGTGTCAGTAGTAATAAATGCTATGAAGAAAAATAAAATGTGAAAAGCAGATTGTGGTCATTTTAAAGTATTGTATTCTTGTCTGATCTTGTTATGATTTGGAAAGTAAAAGTATTGTTTAAAATGTTTTCTTTGGAAACACACTGCCTTTTTATAATTTAAGGGACAATCATTCTTATTTTATAGAAGTCTGCAGCACAATTAGAGTACTAGAATGAAAGAATGACTAGTTTTTTGTCTTAAGGAATTTGGAGAATTGATCCAAAAGTGAAATCATACTTCTACTCCTGGATGCAAATATTTTGATTATATTTTCTCTTATTAAAATTTATTCTGTAATTGTTCAGGCAGGAACATGATATTCTTTCCCAGGTTTTATTACTCATTCTTCAATCTGCCTACATAACTGCAGTCTACATCTATTTATGATTACTATCTGTCAGGCATTTCCTAACCATAATACAGAAATTAATACATTTAATCCTCATAATAACCTATGTGTTGCTCACTCGTGTCTGACTCTTTGCGACCCCATGGACTGTAGCCCACCAGGTTCCTCTGTCCATGGGATTGTCCTGGCAAGAATACTGGAGTGGGTTGCCATTTCCTCCTCCAGGGGATCTTCCTGACCCAGGGATTGAACCCATGTCTCCTGCATTGGCAGGTGAATTCTTTATCACTGAGCCACCTGGGAAGCCAGTAACCTATGAGTTAGATACTATTATTACCCCCATCTTACAGATAAGGAAACAGACCCAGAGAAATAAGTAGACTTTTGATCTGACTGTCGGGGTTTCAAATTTCAACTCTAGTAGGAATGCTTCCCTCTAAGCCTTTATGGTTTAAATAAAATAATGTTATAGCAACCTGTTAGAATTATTGTGAGGAAAAAATGACACAGTGATGGTAAACACTCTAGAACTATGCTTACATATAATGAGCTCTCGAGTGGCTACTATTTTTTTTCTTGTTTATATGATCAGATTGTTTCCATGTTTCTAAGTGAAAGTTTGCTTTTTTTTCCTGTTGGCTAATATTTCTTCAATCCTGGATCTTCTGTGTTATATTTTCTTTTCCTGACATAGAAACGTTGGCTTAGCGCCAAGGAAGTCTATTAGCTTTGTTGGTGCAAGCAAAGGAGCTCTAATGAAAGGAGGATATGCTGGTGCAAACCAAAGCAGAATGGCTATGTCAAAAAACATGATGATTCTACCTGAAGCAAAACAAGTAGAAAAAATGACTATTTCCTCTGCAAAGACAATCACACAGGTACTATTCTTTAGAATTCCGAATTTGTTTGAAAATGATGCTGGTAAGAACTTGATTGAAATGTAAAAGGTAGAAAGTATGCTGTGTTTTTTGTTTTTTTTTTTTTCGAAATTCTTTTTAGGTTTTACACTTGGGTCTGTGATCCACTTTGACTTAATCTTTGTATATGGTACAAGGTATGGTCAGCTGTTGTTGCTGCTTTTGCATAGAGGTATTCAAGTTTTCTAGCACCATTTGTTCTGCACCAGAGGGCATTCGGGATCTTAGCTCCCCAACCAGGAACTGAGCCCATGCCCCCTGCATTGAAAGGCAGCCTCTTAACCACTGGACCACCAGGGAAATGTGCTGCTTTGAAACAATAACTTACTTCTAATACAGTACCGGCATACCTCAGAGATATTATAGGTTCAGTTGGAATAATACACTGGAATGCAAATATCACAATAAAGTGGGTCACGTAAATTTTTTGGCTTCCCAGTGCATATAAAAATTATGTTTATGTTATACTGTAGTCTAAATAGAGTGTGCAATAGAATTATGTCTAAAAATTCCAATGTAGATGACTTAATTTAAAAAATCTTTAATGCTTGTTGGAAAAGACTCTTGAGAGTCCCTTGGACTGCAAGGAGATCCAACCAGTCCATCCTAAAGGAGATCAGTCCTGGGTGTCCATTGGAAAGACTGATGTTGAAGCTGAAACTCCAAAACTTTGGCCACTTGATGCGAAGAGCTGACTCATTGGAAAAGACCCTGATGCTGGGAAAGATTGAGGGCAGGAGGAGAAGAGGACAAGAGAAGATCAGATGGTTGGATGGCATCATCAACTCAATGGACATGGGTTTGGGTGGACTCCGGGAGTTGGTGATGGACAGGGAGGCCTGGTGTGCTGTGGTTCATGGGGTTACAAAGAGACAACTGAGTGACTGAACTGAACTGATGCTAACCATCCTCTCAGCCTTCAGTGAATCATAGTAACATCAAAGAGCGCTGGTGACAGATTACCATAACAAATAAAATAATAATGAAAATATTTAAAATATTGTGAGAATTACCAAAATGTGACACAAAGACTCAAAATGAGCAGATACTTTTGAAAACTGGTATCAGTACTCTTGCTAGATGTAAGGTTGTCACAAACCTTCAATTTATTTTACAAAAGCCACAATATTGAAGTGCAATAAAGTGAAGTGCAATAAACTGAGGTATGCTGTGTTGTGCTAAATCGCTTCAGTCATGTCCGACTCTGCGACCCCATGGACTGTAGCCTGCCAGGCTCCTCTTCCTTGGGATTCTTCAGGCAAGAATATTGGAGTGAGCTGCTGTGCCCTCCTCCATGGGATCTTCCTGACCCAGGGGTCGAACCCACATCTCCTGTGGCTCCAGGATTGTAGGTGAAGTCTACCACTGAGCCACTGGGAAAGCCCGAAATGAGGTATACCTATATTGATATATTGATTTCGTTAGAGTCTTTACCATACAACTAACATATCTCACAGCATAATACTGGCAGTTCGCTCCTATCATCATTACTAGAGTGGAATGAAGAGAGTCTACTCATGACCTTAAGAATCAGCTCATGCTGCTATAGTACAATACTGTAGATTGGGTGGCTTATAAACTTATTTCTTATTGTTTTGGAGACTGGAAGTCTAAGATTACAGTGGCAAATGGTCGGGTACTGGTGATGACTTTCTTCCAGGTTGCAGACTACCAACTTTTCTCTGTATCCTAACATGGAGGAAAGAGATTTAGCTAGCTCTCTAGGTTTTTTTGTAAAGGCACTAATCTCATATGTGAGGGCACTACCTTCATGACCTAATTACCTTTCCAAGGTCCCACCTCCCAATACCACCACACTGGGATTAGAGTTCCAGCATATGAATCTGGGGGTACACAAAACATTCAGTCCATAATAATTATACACATATTACATATACATTATATACTATATATACATTATATGTAATGTGATATATTATTGTATATTACATACATATTACATGGTATCAACACCACTATGTAAAAGGTATAATGCATCATGACCAAGAGGAGATAATACATGCAAGGTTGTTCTAATATTCAAAAGTCAGTACTACTTGTCTTATCAGTAGATTGAAAAAAATGTGATTATCACAACAGATAAAAATAATTTGAAAAATTCAATATCCATTAATGATAAAAAATTAATAAAAAACCATTTCAACTAACTTGAAAAAAAAAGAATTTCCTCAGGAGCATTGTGAAAAACCTACAGTTACTAGTAATCTAGTAACATATAAAAAGAATTTTATGCCTTGAGTGCATTAGTTTCATAAGACTACCATTACATAATATCACAGACTGGATGGCTTAAACAATGTCCTAATCTCCTCTTCCTCAGGGACACTAGTCAGATTGGATTACCTCATTTTAACTTAATTATCTCTTTAATGGCCCTATCACAAAATTCAGTCACACTGAGAGGTCTGGGAATTAGGGCTTCAACATATGAATTTTTTGGTAGGGTGAGACAATTCAGCCTATAACAGTTACCAAGTGGGGTTTATCCCAGGGATGCAAAGTACTTTAACATCTTAATATCAATGTAATTTACTACATCTCATATCAGTAAAATAAAAAACGATGATCATCTCAATAGAATTAGAAAAAGCACTTTGCAAAATCCAACATCTTTTCATGATAAAAATGCTTTAAAAACTAATAATAGAGGGAATTCAACTTGACAAGGGACATTTATGAAAAACCCACTAACATCAACTTAGCAGGCAACTGGATGCTTTCCCTTTGATGTCAGGAACAAGACAAAATTTTCTTGCTGCTTCTATTCAGTGTTGTTCTGGAGGGTCTAAAAATAGCAATTAGGCAGGAAAAAAGAGACAACCAGTTTGGAAAGGAAAAGGTAAATCTCTGTTTGCAGATGACATAATGTTATGTGCATAAACTCCTAAGAAACCCACCAAAAAGTATTAAAACTAGGGAACTCCCTGGAAGTCTAATGGTTCAAACTTGATCCTCTCACTGCAGTGGCCCAGGTTCAATCCCTGGTTAAGGAACTATGATTCTATAAGCTGTGGCATGGCCAAACAAACAATTAAAATTAACTACTGAGTTCTGCTAGGTTGCAGGATACACGATCAATATACAAATAAATTATACTTTTTACATTTGGAATAATTTTAAAATTAAGGAAACAATTTCACAGTAACATCCAAAACAATAAAGTACTTACAAATAAATTTAATAATAGCAGTGACATCTTCAGCTCCAAAAACTGTAAAACATTACTGAATGAAATTAACAATGACCTGAATAAATGGGAGCACATCCAAAATTTATGAATTGAAAGACTTACCATTGGTAAAATGGTGGTACTCCCCAATCTGATCTGTAGATTCAGTACAATCCTTATTAGAAATATCAGCAGACTTCTTTGTACAAATTGACAATTGATTCTGAAATTCATATGGAATTTCAAGAAACCCAGCATAGACAAAATACTCCTGGAGAAGAAGAATAAAGTAAGCAGATTCTCACTTCCCATTTTCAAAATTTACTACAAATCAACAGAAATCAAGATAGTGTGGTATTGATTGGCACAAGGATAGACACACAGATCAATGAATAGAATTAAGAGTCTAGAAATAAACCTATTACATCAATGGTCAACTGATTTTTGATAAGGGTATCATGACCATTTTAAGAGGATCTTCAATAAATAGTGTGGGGATGACTGGATAGCCACATTCAAAAGAATGAAATTGGACCCTTACCTCATACCATATAAAAATTAATTCAATATGAATCAAAGACATATACAAAAAGCTGAAACTAAAAAACTTGGAAGTGGTAAATCTTCATGACCTTGGACTTTGCAAAGGATTCCCAGATATGATACCAAAAATGTAAACCACAAAAGAAAAAAAAAGCAGATGATTGAACTTTACCGAAATTAAAAATATTTGTGTTTTGAAGAACATAGTCAAGAAAGTAAAAAATCAACCCACAGAATGGGGGAAAATATTTGCAAATGATCTGTCTGTTAAGGGATTTGTATATGAAATATATAAAGCATTACAACTCAAGATAGGCAAATAACCCAGTTAAAAATTGGTCAAGGGATTTGAATACTCATTTCTCTAAAGAAGGTAAAAAAGCACAAGGTAAGATGCATGACATTATTAGTCATCAGAGAAATGCAGATCAAAACCAGTGAGATCTTTACTTTATACTCACTAGGATGGCTAGAATCAAAAAGTCAGATGACAACTGTTGGCAAGGGTATCAAGAAATCAGAACCCTACTGGTAGGAATATAAAATAGTCCTGACACTTTGGAAAATGGTTTCATAGTAACTCAGAAGTTTAAACATACTATTACCATATGACCTGGCAATTCTACCTCTAGATATATACACCCAAGAGAAATTAAGATATATTTCAAACCCTGAAACTTCATACCCTGACTATTCATAATAGTCAGCAAGTGGAAACAACCCAAATATCCAACAGTGAGCAAATAACTAAGCAAAATGTGATATATTCATACAGTAGAACATTTTTCAACCACAAAAAGGAATGAACTACTGATGCATGCAGCGTTGTGGATGAATCTTGAAACCGTTATGCTAAATGAAACAAGCCAGTTACAAAATACCACACTCTATGTGATTCCACTTGCATAAAAGTCCAGAATGGAGAAATCTATAAAGATATGAAATACATTAGTTGTTGCCTAGGACTGGGAGATTGGACTGAAAGACTGAAGGCAAAAGAATGGGGCGGCAGAGGAAATGATTAGATGGCACCACTGACTCAATGGGCATAAGTGTGAGTAAACTCCGGGTGATAGAGGAGGACAGAGGAGCCTGGCATGCTGCAGCCCACAGGCTGAAGAGTCAGATGTGTCTTGTCCACTGAAGAACAACAACAAGGACTGGGAGAAAGACAAGTGTTTGGGAGTCAGAATTAAAGGGTACACAGTTTCTTCTTGAGGTAGTTCTA